TAGAAAATTAGAGTTACAAATATTTTTATTAGAAAGTCAGAAAAACACAAGTTAAATAGCAGCTTAATGCTGCTGTGTTTATTATGGTGAGTTTATAGAATGAGAATAGAATAGAATGATTTTTATTAAATATAGATTATTACAGAATACTTATTGAAAGACATTTTTTATTTACCACTGGTTCGGAAAATACCTCAGTCCTGGGAAGAACTAGTAAGAAACCCAGCGGGACTTTTTTATAAACATATTTCTCTTAACAATAATTTTATTTGTACAATTTTTAAATGAATTTTAATAGAACCACCATGGTGGCGATCACCTCAATTCCAGTATTTCCAATATTCTCATTTATGTATTCTTTGATATTATAATAACCTTTTTATAAAATTTTTCTTTAATAAAACATTTAAACTTGTTTATTGACAAATTTTGGATAAATTTTTGTACAAATTTTGTATGAGAGAGACCTCTTTTACAGGAAACGAGGCATTCCATCTTACTCCACACGGGTGACAACGCATCTGCATTTTGATTTGTAGTCGAGGATAGATGTGGACGTCTATGCACCACAGCAGTTACTTAACATCAGATGGACTGTGTGTGTGTATGTGTGTGTGGTAGACTGTGTTTTATCACCATTATCCTATAAAAAAACTAAATATTTGAGACTATATCAGATACATGTTTGTAAATATCCTCATATATGAAACAATTATTTTCAGGTACTAAATTGCTGCAAATATTTGTACATCTTTTATTAATAATTAAAATAAATAATTATAATTAATATGCATTTTATTTACATAACAGTGAAATATAATATACAATAGTAAAAAACTATAATAAAAAAAACTAAACCTAATTACTTAGTCATCATACAGTCCTACTCCCCGTGGACCCGTGCACCTCTGGAAAGGAAATCCGGCTGTGAATGTAGAGGAGGGACGATATTTATTAAAAAATCTAAACATATCTCTAAAGCACTTAAATCTTTATATAATATAGCTTCATATTGATGTGGAATGTGCTGTACCCCGCATCTTTCCCTGAAACACAATCATTTATAGCCTAAATAAAAGCATTTTGCTCAATAAATGAAATATTATCACAATACTACCCTGAATTTATTTCATATTGGTGAATATGTAGTCGTTATTCTTTGACAGCTGACAACGGCTCTGCAGAAATATTTTCCTTTATAAATGGGTATTATCTCTGAAATCAAAAAGAAATATTATTATAATTGTCTTATACATTTATTGATCCTTAATGTAATTTTATAGCCAAAATTGGCCTCTGAATAACAAAATAAAATAAATTATATATACATAGCTTTAGACAATTGAAAAAAAATTGACAATTTTATAAATATAATTATTAATTTTAATTATAAATAGCTATATAAATATGTAAAAAAAAAATGTTTACCTACTGAAAATGAGTTTCAATAAACTGTCTTCTTCTAATATTTCCCCTTATTGATGGTGCAATATATCTTTGTACTATAGGTTCAGATGAATATTGTTCAATGCTATCTCTCTCACCAGGAAACACATCTTCTCTCATGTCGATGGCCATATTGTGTAGTACAGCACATGCAACAATTGTTTTTTTTGCTGTTTCAATATCTCCAAACATACCTCTTAATAGGCAACGAAACCGTTGCTTCCACAAACCAAAACATCTTTCCACTGTGTTCCTGGTACAGATATGGCTCCTATTATATCTTTCTTCTTGTGGTGTTGTGGGGTTCAGCAGCGGTGTAAATAGGTAAGGGGTACAAGCATAGCCACTGTCACCAAGTAATATTCCAGAGAATGCACCAGCCTCAAACCTCTGTTTTAGTCTACATTCTCGGAATATTCTGGAGTCATGTACACTACCACGCCACCTGGTAACAATGTCCATGATTTTCAGGTCAGCGTCACAAACCACCTGTAAAATAAGAGCTCATTAGTACTTTATGTTTTTCTGGTTTATTTTAATATATATTTATTACCATAAGATAGTCAAACAAATTATTTTCTATTATGATAAAGTAAAGTTATTAAGAGACAATCACAGCTATTTAAAATATTTGTATATTACCTGTACATTAATTGAAGAAAATCCTTTTCTATTAATATATAACTGACCCCCATCAGCATTCACTTTCTTTACTCGTATGTGAGTACAGTCAATTGCGCCAATTACTGTAGGAAAATTAGCAATACTGCGAAATTTCCTAATGGTTTCCTGCTGTTCATTTAAAGTAGTAGGCATTTTAATAAATTCTCAGGGCTTCCGTGACAAAATTTCCGCTACTTTTTTACATGTCCTACTTACTACTGGTTGAGACACACCATGTAAATCAGCTGTATCGTCTTGAATCTACGAATAAAACAATAATATGTATTATTTGGCTTTTTATCTAGCGTAATGTTAGGTACATTGACCCCACCAAGATTATAAACAGCACTTACTTCATGGCGAGCCCAGTTGCGTAATGCACAAACCACTTGAATTTCAGGACTCAATGGGCATCCTCGAGGGTCGTGCACTAAATCCTCACGTAAGATACCCACTATTTTTTCTCCGAAACGTTTTGAGAACCTATACTTATACCTAAAATCTTCGTCACTCAATTCATACGGATTCACACGATGTCGATGTCTATCAGGTCGCCGAGTGGTGTCTAGCATGTCCAAATCTTCTAAATCCATCAAGTCAATCATGTTAATATCCATTTTTAACGATTTTAATAACACCAAATGAAAACAACGCTCACCTCAAATTAAGAAGTACCGAAATTGAGGTTAGTATAGAGTACCACAAACTATATAGAAAGGTTAGTACCATAGCTAAACTAGGGGTCTCGAAAGATTAACTTTAATACCATAGATAATCCTTGAACCAGAGATAATCTTCGTTTTGTAATAACGTTTTTCTTAGTTTATGGTTTAAATATATTACTAACTCCAGTACTATATTAAGTCCGTGTTTTGGAATAAGGCGGCAAATGTCCAAAATAACAGCTTGAATGGCTTCTAAATGGAGACATTAAAACTCGATCTTTTATTTTTCATTCATAAGGTTGATGTTTTTTTTTTCAACGTCCATCACTTATGTTTTTCCATCGCAGATCATTGTGTCTCGGTACAAAATTTGACCGAAACCATTTTGATCGTTATTCCTATGTATGAAAATGATAAGACAGAAACTATAACTTAATCTAGGGAATATTCAAGATAACGCTCAGACATAAAATGGTATCAACGAGAAGATTATTAATACAAGTAAACTAATTTGTATAAGGTAGAGGACTCAGTTTATAACTGGTCTCTTTAAAGTACTCTTTTGAGTGCAAAGCGTTACACAACGAACAACCCCATCTGCACCATGGTGAAGAGCCCCTATTATAACTAAATGCCAATCATACTACGGTACAGGATCACCTAATTTAATGGTAGATCTATTCCAATGTCACTTTTATTGCAGTTGCAGCGTATGTAAATATTCATGACTTCATTTACGCCTAAACAATTGTGAACATTTTAGAATATATTGCCAACGTCACAATCAATTAATCGATATAATTTCTACATTATATTCAGGTACCGTAGTGAACTCTTTTCAAATTAGAAAGTGCCTTCATATAATTTTCCATTTTCAGCAACCGTTTAATATATTGTTTTTTTGATCGAACATAAACCTTTGTAATATACCTAGTTAAATGCTTACTATCCGACTCCGATGGCAACAACGATAAAACTTCGAGGTGTACAGCTTTTGTTGAATAACAATTAAATAATGCTAAATGTGACAGTTCAACCCTAGGCGTTTCGTCGTAAACTTTTTTTTTGTAAAGAACGGACTTCCGAGGTCCACCCCCATGATATAAAAATTTACTAGGTACCATCTCAGGCTGTAAGAGCACTGGGTTGTATTTAGAACAAGTTTTGCATTTGGACAAAAGTGGCCGAATAATGCGTCGGGAAGCTAAAATATAAACGTTTTACACAACAATGAAACGATTATTATGTGCCGAAAGAAAACAAAGCATCGCTTATGAAGAAGCAGTGTGTACTCACCCTTATATTGATACTTACTGCCGTCTATTGTGTATCAATCCATAGATAATATTGTCTAAGGACTGTCACCATAAGGAGGGGATACCCTGTCATATTAGTGTTTAATGCCTGTTTGGGTCATTGCAGTCTTCACCAGGAAGAGCATTCCTGCGATGCTGTGTTTCCTTTCGTCACATAATAATCGTTTTAGTGTTGTATAATACGTTTATATTATGTGTCTATCAGAAAACACAGCTTCGCTTATGAAGACGTGTTTGATATCTGCTGGTGACTAGAAATTAAAAATAACACACGCAATGTTGAAATTATTGTTTAAGTAACTCTTGTAGACTATACCTTTATATTAGGTAGAAAGTAATTAAGACAAGTTTAAAATTATTAATAGTTTTACTCTTGTTTTGTAATAATATGTAAAAACATCATATAAAATAAATTTTCATGAACTAAATAAATTTAAATTATTTAACATAAATTGTACCTCTATAACTTGACTCAAGAAGCAATTATGAATTCTTAATCATAAATCACAATAAAACGAAATCATATAAAAGTAATAATAGTTTCAAAGAGGCTTAAAATTGTCTAAAATATAATTTGCGTTATCGCGTTCCTGTGCATTACTCTCTCGGCAATAATGATTCATTAGTGTCTGAGCAGCTGTCCAATCGTCTCTCTTTAAAATTTTTTCAATTGGTCTGTTTTGAAGCCAGGCTAGGGTTGCTACTGCAGATCGGCAAGAACCAGGAGTAGCATCTATTCCAGCATGCTTTAATACAGAGCGCACCCATCCACCTATCATTGTTCCGGATGCAGGTTTTGGAGTACCTCTGATAGAAATGAACAAATGTCCATCTATTTTGTCAGTCCGTCTTTCCTCAGTTGCCTGAATTTCACTGGACTCAAGTTGCTGTCCTCATTGGGAAGAAGCTTCTAACCAGACTGCCACCTGGAACCATTATCAGTCTTAGCTCCGAAAACTGGCCACAAGCAGATATCTCGCCCAGTGTCAGTAAAATACGGTATTTTAATCCTCAATAACGTCAAGTCATGTAATCTACGACCAGATGTCAAAAGCAGGATAGTTGCAGTTCTTCTTACAATTTCAAATACTGAGTCGCCTTTTGGATTTTGCTTCAACCAGTCTACTACTTGCTTTACATCCCACACCGACGATTTAAAATTTGGTTTAGAATTATGGATAGCTTTATGTATCTGTTTTACGAGAAAATTTGAGAATATGTCATCCTTCATTCCATAGTATGTTGCTACAGCTGATTTTTGTACCAAAATCGTACTGTATGCCAGACCCTCTTTTAAAAATATGTCAGCTAGGAACTGTGCCACCTCTTCTGATCTACGAGACTTCGTATTGAATTCTTTAGTTCTGCACCAAGCCATCCATCGCTTAAATGCTGGTTTATAGACCCACATTTTTTTCTTTCGTAGGGTTTCTGTGACCCAGCAAGTTACAACAGAGAAAAGCCTTGGGGCTGATGATAGTCCAAATGGAAGTGAGGTTATTCTTGTTTGTAAAAAAGTCGCAGGAAAGATCTGTGTGACATTGCTATAGGTAGGTGGAAATATACCTGTGAAATGTCGAACTTTTTCCATCCAATCTCCAGATTGAAGGAAATCTGGTACCTTGGTATGGCTTATAAGATGAAAATGCTTTGTTCCTACAACTCCCGAAGGTCGAAAATCGGTCTCAGGCCACCATCGCTCTTTTTTACATGAAAAATGCGGGAGAAGAAACCGGGAGTTAAAGAAGTAGGCTTTTCTAAAACTCCAATACGTTTCAGTTCGTTTATCTGTATGTATATTGTTAAATTAATAAATCTGGATGTCTTTTACTTATTTATTCAATTTTAACAGATCAGTCTTAGTCACTTAATAGCGTCTAATGCCGCCATCTGGACCGCTTCCTCTCTAGTTACAATAACATTTGAAATAAGTACTTTTTTTATTATGTGATTAATTATGTGACTATAATTACTTTTAAAATGTTTTAATATTAAACATTTTAAAAGTAATAAATTTATCTTTATAATTCTTAACCGTTAGAAATTAAAACTGAGTCTCAACTACTTTAATACAGGAAATAGCCATAATGTTGATGAGAAATGACATGACAAAAACAAATTATCGTTTAGAAACTAGATATAAAAAAATGAATACATATTGATAATCTAACAATCGGCCATTCTGATTTTTACTGCCTGTCCTCAGGCAGTTTGACATCATGTTATGAGAGTTTTTTTTTTACACATTTTTTTTAATCAATAAATTTAAATACGATATGAATTTACATTTAAGCTGTCAGAGAAAATCTGTTTAATACACTTTTTTTTTAAATACAATTGGCAATTAATATGGATTTCAATTTAAGCTAAGAAAGAAAATATGTACTAATATACATGTTGTTACCAAAATAAAGTTTGTCAATTCGGCCATCCTTACTTATTAATTGAATGCCCTCATTCGATTCTACTTGTATTCTAAGATATAATTATAATCAGTAAACTTAACAGTAGTATCCATAATGATTTCTTATATTTACGCGAACACTACACATTTTTAAATAAAACTAATTTTACGGATTTTATCGCGTATATTAACTTATTTTTATATTCCCGACGTTTCGGGTGCTTTCCAGCACCCGTGGTCACGGGGGACTGAGTTGTTTGACGTCCTGCTGTCATAGTTAGCCCGGCTACCTTCAGTTTTTTAATATTAATTTTTGATTCGATTTACGCAGAATGAGCTTACATTATCTTGAAGTCTAGCAGTGGTATACTTGGGTTTGGATTTGATTTTATTAATTATGGGATCCCAAGCAGATGGTAGCACCCATCCATCTTCTCTATTGAAATTAGGATGTTTTTTAATTTCAATAGCCTCGCGAATCATCCTTGGGAGGAATCGGTGTTCTTTTGCGAGGATTTGTGGTCTATCAAATCTAATGTAATGACGGGGACGATCCTGAACATGTTCACAAACTGCAGACTTCCCGATACGTCGGTGCTTCACATCAGCTATATGTTCTTTAACGCGGGTTTTAATAGATCTTTTTGTTTGTCCTATGTACGAGAGACCACATTCACAATCCAGCTTGTACATTCCTGCATCTTGTAGAGGGATATGACACTTGACGGATGGTAAAAATTGACCAATCTTCTTCAGCGGCTTGGAGTACGTTTTAATGGAAGCTCGCTTCAAGATGTAGCCAACCTTGTCTGTGACTTGTCGGAACATCCTTCACATATTCTTATGTTCTGCAAGACCCGCCGCAGAAGAACACAAAAACTCTCCGATCACACTCTTAATCTCATGGCTGTTAGACGGGAGATGAAGCTACACTCTTCAACAGACTTGACAGCATACAGGCATCTGAACAGACAGATCTTCAAATGCATGCGGCGGGACTTACGCAACTTCAATACAGCTCGTATTGAAGAAGCGATCGAGCGGAACCAAGGCTCCAAAGTCTTTGCCAGAGATCTGTCTGCCAGAAAGAGCCAACTGTCAAAGCTGAAGACAGAATGTGGCAGCATCGTTTCCGGGACACCTGAGATTTTGAGTGAGATTGAGAGGTTCTATGGGCAGCTGTAAACGTCATCGTTGGAGCCACACGCAAGTGTGAGTAACGATCCAAGAGGGAGTCTCGTCCAACACTATTCCGAAGATATCCCGGACGTCAGTCTAAGCGAAATTAGAATGGCTCTCCAGCACCTTAAAAACGGTAAGGCCCCAGGCGAGGATGTAATTACAGCAGAGCTTCTGAAAGCGGGTGGAAGACCGGTACTTGAAGTCCTTCAGAAGCTCTTTAATTCCGTCCTCCATGGTGGCATTACACCGGAGGCGTGGAGCAGAAGTGCGGTGGTCTTGTTCTTCAAGAAAGGTGACAACGCTCTCTTGAAGAACTACAGACCAATTTCCCTTCTGAGCCGCGTCTACGTGCTGTTTTCGAGAGTCATTACGAATCGTCTTGCGCGCAGACTTGACGACTTCCAGCCTCCCGAACAAGCCGGTTTCCGAAAGGGCTTTAGCACCATAGACCACATACATACCCTTCGGCAAATTGTACAGAAGTCCGAAGAGTACAATTTGCCACTATGTCTGGCGTATGTGGACTATGAGAAAGCCTTTGATTCCGTCGAAATTTGGGCGGTGCTGCAGTCCCTTCAGCGGTGCCAAGTTGACTGTCGGTATATCGAAGTGTTTAAGTGCTTGTACAGTAGGGCTACGATGGCTATCCGAGTACAGAATCAGAGTACGAAAATAACATATGCTATTAATCCTATATCTACAAAATCGACTCTTACTCTTACTTGTGCTTTACCAATTGGAGATATGGCACTATCACCAAATCCCCGTAAAATGGGCAACTCGTCTGAAGAAATTTTTAAATTCAAGCCTTTACACACTTTATCACTCAAGAGAGTACACTCACTCCCAAAGTCAATATAACCTTTTATTATTATATCGTTAATTTTAACATCTTTAAAATATTTTTGATTACTCTCCATCACTGTTCCATCTATATTTAATACAGTCTTTGATATGTTATTAATCTCTTCGCGGTTTGTGTTGTTTGGTTTATGATAATTTTGTGAATTGCAATTGATATCTTTATGGCCATGGCGTTTGCATTTGTTGGCATCTTAGTATTTCTTTAGTACACTTCAGAACTGTGTGACCTACTTCGCCACAATTGAAACACGTTATGTGGCTCATGGTCCTTTTGTTATTAAAATAGTCGTGATTATTTCTACTTTTTACCTCTTGCATGGATTCGTTTGGATATTTGTTTACGCTGTCATTTTTTTTGTCACGCATATCAGAGTTAAACCGTTTAGGAAACTGTGTTGGTTCAGTTTTATTACCGGTAATATAGCGAAAGTAATTTAAGACCTGTTCCGGGTTATCATAATGTGCACCTTGTACATTCATTCTCACGTTATAATCAAATATCCCGTGAGTTATGCAATCCACTGCCTCTCGCCCCACTAGGTGACACATATTAATAAGCATAATCTTATCGTAGTAATACTCAACAAGAATTTCGTTACGTCTACTTTTACGACTTAACATCTCGGACAATAAATCTCCGTAGTTCTGTTCGCAGGGAAACGTCTCCAATAACTTTCCCCAACTAAATGTTACACTCGTAAGCCCATCATACCATTTCTTTGCTGATCCTTTTAACTTTGGTAAAGCATAGAACATGGTTTGTTGTTCCGACCAACCATACATTTCCGCCGATTCGTTTATCTTTATGAGCCAGTCTTTCATGGCTTGTGCTTTAGAACTAGGGTCGAATTCCGTGATAATACTTTGTGCACCTTGCACGTGCGTTGGTACATGTACTCGCGAATTACTACCTTGTAGTGCACTTACCAATTGTTTAAGTAGATTATTGTCAGAAGCTTGCTTAGAATCTGCACTTTCAATGGATGTATCACTAGATATGCTACGCCGTATATATATTTGTGTTTATCTGAGTGCTTTGGTTTGCGCTGCGACCGTTCAAAATAAGTATGGCATGGCGTGCTATCACGTTGAAGACGCCGGCGGCGCTGCCGTTTCGTTAGATTTTGAACAGGTAAAGGTCAATACGAGGTTTACGAGAAGTCTGTCTGCCACGAGTGGGTGTTTGACGACATTGCCGACATCTACAACGGTGGCGATTTTGTTGCCTAGTAGGTGGTCGCGAGTATTCTCTATATGACGAATTTGAGTCTGAAGTAAAATGCCCTACGGACTCGCTACGATTTCGCTTACGGCTAGGACGGTACGACTTGGCACGATCCATATGACCATCTCCTATAGATTGGTAAAGGGGGTGTTAAACCACGATCAGACATTTTATATATATAACTACTATTGTGTATAAAAGAGATAAAACGTATAATAATATCTTAATATTGTTAAATTGTTAATTGTTATTGTTAACTATATTGTTAATATTACAATGATAACAAAGATAATACCTATATAGTATAATCGTAAACCGAACACTTCTTCTTTGAGTTATTTACAGTATCGAGTACTGGAGCTAATATTTTACCAACGACAAACCTTTATGGGCGATATATTTAGACATCCCACTTCTGAAATGTTCAATTAATAAATCTGGATGTCTTTTACTTATTTATTTAATTTTAACAGATCAGTCTTAGTCACTTAATAGCGTCTAATGCCGCCATCTTGACCGCTTCCTCTCTAGTTACAATAACATTTGAAATAAGTACTTTTTTATTATGTGATTAATTGTGTGACTATAATTACTTTTAAAATGTTTTAATATTAAACATTTTAAAAGTAATAAATTTATCTTTATAATTCTTAACCGTTAGAAATTAAAACTGAGTCTCAACTACTTTAATACAGGAAATAGCCATAATTTTGATAAGAAATGACATGACAAAAAC